TATATATATTTTTGCAATATTTGTGTTTAAATTATATAAAAAAATTAAAATTATTAATAAATCAAAAATATATAATTTAAAAATTTTTACTTAAAAAAATAATTAACAATTTCATAATAGAACTTTTTAAATATTAATTTTAAATATATTATTTTTAATACAGTATCATAGATTATAAAATAGATATCAATTTTTATTATTATAGTTTTCATAATTTAATTGTAAAAATTAAAACTTGCATTAGAGATAAATGTTTTTTTATATCAGAAATGTATAGAATTTTAAAAAAACCCTTTGGAAAAATTTATAATAAAAATTTTGAAGAATTTAAAAATTTATTATTCAAATTCTTTAATAATCTTAAAATATTTTTATAATAAAATTAATAAAGAATGTATTGAAATATATTATTCTTATATAAGATATATAGGTAAAATTAAAATTTAAAATATATTAAAATATTTATAAATATAATTTATTTTAGTAGACAAATTTGCCTGTTTTATAAATTAAAGGATAGTATTCTTGAATGCTTCTATATAATTTTTGATGTTAAAGTTAATAAAGAATTGAATTGGGATGTTCTTTCAGCAAAAGAGTAATAGTGAACAATGTTTTAATTATACTGTAGATAAACAGTAGACCTGTAACAATGTTAACAACAATTTATAAAATAACTGGTAATAAAAATAGAATTGAAAGAATAAGAAATAAAAAAGAGAAACAAGTTCAAATGCAGCAAAAGTACATGGTATAATTATTATTAATTCATATTTAATATTAAAAAATAATAGTGTAAATATTAGTTATAAAGAATTTGAATAAAATTAATATGGAATTTAATTAAATCAAGTATTGAAGATTAAAAGATAATAATTCAAAAAAAAAATCAAGTACATGAAATCAAATAAAAGAATAATACAAAAATTCAAATTTATTGAAGTCAATTCAGCCAATAAAAATCAATATATTAAAGAAAAATCTGAACTTTCTTTATTAAGATTTATATCAGAAAGATATTTTTCTGAATGGTGAAAGCAAAGAAGTAGTTGTAGTTATTTAAATAAAAATTTTTAAAAAAAAAAATATTAAAAGATCCTCCATAGTCACAATTGTATTGCATAAAATGTAATATTACATTATATTGTAATAAAAGTAAAAGTATTTGTTTTAGAGACTATCAGACTAAGAAGAAGATAATAATTAAAATTAATATTATTTATTTACTTTTTTATGAAAATCTTTATAAATAATTACTTGAAATTATTAAATATAATAATTGTAAAATTTTTATAATTTCTATATGTAAAAGTTTTTTCTTTCTTATATACTATTGAAAATAATATTAAGTAACCTTAATCTCAAGTATATATTATATCTTCTGTAAAAGTTTCAGACCATTTTCTTGAGAATTGAATAAATAGTAACCAATTTTATTTTAAAAATAAAATTACTAACTACTTATCTAATTTACATTCTAAAAATCTTCAACTTTTATAGTAAATACATAAATTCTCTATAATAAGGTTACTTAGTATTGTTTACGATAATAAATAAGCTGTAAAAAAACTTATGACAATTGATCATAGCTGCATATAAAAGTATTTTTTTGCTTATAAATCATCAAAAATGATACTAAGTAATTTTATTCTGAAGAATGCAATGCATCTAATGTAAAAATCTCAAATTTTAAAAATAAATTAAATGAATAATTAATAATTTTAAATAATATCATTAATTGCTTATTGAATTTGTTTCAAACTTTAAGTAAATGCATTGCATTTTCCAGAATAAGGTTGCTTAGTAATACTTTCAAAGATTTATAAGCAGAATAAATACTTTTATATCCAGCAACAATTGATGACATAAAAAAAATTCTTGAGATTAAATGTAATCAATTTAACATGTCAACTTATTATAACTACAAATAAAAAGTATTTTTTTTTGCTTAAAAACCATTCAAAATGATATTAAGTAACTTTATTCTAAAGAATATAGTACATTTACTATAAAACCTTGAAATTTTTAGAACACAAATTGGATGAGTAATTAGTGATTTTAGTATGAAATCATTAATTACTTATCCAATTTATTTTCTAAAAATATCAGACTTTTACAGTAAATGTACTACATTCTCTAGAATAAGGTTACTTAGTATTATTTTTGATAATTAATAAGAAAAAAAATACTTTTATATGCAGTTACAATTGATTGACATGTTAGATTAATTACATTTGATCTCAAGAATTTTTTTTATGTCAGTCAATCATAACAACATATAAAAGCATTTATTTTGCTTATAAATTATCAAAAATAATACAAATTAACTGTAAAAGTTTGAGATTTTTAAAATACAAATTCAATAAGCTAAGCAATTAGCAATTTAAATTTAAAATCATTAATTGCTTATTCAATTAATTTATAAAAATCTCAAACTTTTACAGTTGATGTACTGCATTCTCTAGAATAAGGTTACTTAGTATCACTTTCGATAATTTATAAGCAAAAAAATACTTTTATATGTATCAAAGATAAACTAATATTTTTTAATAATTTTATTGATTTTTGCTCTTATTTAAAGTCAAAATGACCTTAAATACAGTAATAATTAAAGATATTTTAAATAAAATTTATATTTTTTATTAATTTATCCTATAGCTCTGATAGATTTCTAATAAGATAATTAAAATTATAGAATAAATTTTTGTAAAATCAGTACTTTACTGAAAAATATTCAATTCACAAATACAAATTTCACGTGACTTTTATAAAACAATTCAAAATTAAACTGATATGTAACAAGATTGATCAACTATTTATAAAAAAATTTCATTATACAAATTTTAATTTTCATAAAGTTTTATATATTACATATTTAAGTAAAAAATTGTGAACAAATTTGCCTGCAATTGCTACTGTTTAAGGGATAATAATAACCAATATTTCAATATATTAGAGATATCTGTGTACCATGTGTTCTGCATAGGACCAGTAAAATCTTGTGCTCATGTTCATAGTTTAGCATTTACTGATTTATTATGATTTAAGTGTTTGTAAACTAAGTATTTATTTTGTTATTTTGGTAGCTTTTTTAGTTGATCAATAGGAACAAGATGTATAATGCCATTATTTTTTTTTGCATGCTGATTTAATAAAAAATATTTATTTCTTTTTATTTGTGTAAGTGGAGAGTTATATGTAGAAACGTTTCTCTGTGGAATATACCATGGGATACAATGAATATCATCCATCATCATGCTAATTTCTGTGTAAATTGGTAATCATTTGAATTATCATGAGGGATGATAAACTGTGATACTAAGATGATTGTATGAAAATGATAATTTGTGTAGCCATTCAAAAGATGATGTATGAGGATGAAAGATGAAGGATAAAGCATAAAGGATGACAGGTAAATTTGAATGAGTGTGAAAAAGTATAAAAGAAGTGCTTCCTTTAACTTTTTCCTTCATAAAGATATCTTATAATTAAACCAGGAGCAACAAGATGCTTTTCAATAAATAATATTCTTTTTTGAAAAATTCAGATCATAATTATTACATGATATATATGCCTATGATATTCATATCATATATCTCACGTAAACATTGTATATTAGTTACACAAAGGTATCATTTTTGATAGATCTATAGTTATTTTTTTTTTTTTGATAGACTTATTTTTGAGTAATATGATGCAACTAATATATGCGTAGTCACGTATTTATATAATATCAAAATCATGTAAACATCGAATAATTGTATCAAAAAAATAACCATTGGTCTATCAAAATGATGCTTTTGCATTAGTTGCATCTCGTTACTTAAAAAATAACCATAAGTATAACCTTTGCCTCGAATTCATGATCATAGAAATCACATGTTAGTCTTTAATCAATAAAATTAAGCTTCACCATTTATTGTCTTTAATTTTATTATTTCAAATATTTTATCATTTATATTTATTATTATTTGCAACACATAGACAATAACAAATAATTTAGAACCATTAAATAGTTCATTCATCAACAAATTCGTTAATTTTAATTTTCAAATTAGCAGAACGATAATAATAAATTTTTAATTGAATAATTTGTAATTCTTTAATAGCAACAGTAACTGAAGCACTTTAATCAATATATTTAGACGAACCTAAAATTATTACAGAACTAACAATCATAATAGGGAGGAACATATTCAAATATATTGTTTTCATACAAGGGTATACTGAGAATTCGTTTATTCTGCATTTTATTTTTAAATTTTAATTATTTGTGATCTGGAAGGTTAATAAAATAAATTATTAATCTTTTGGTACGGAGATAATAGATAATACTATCTTTATGAAAATTATTTACTTATTTTTAATTATATAATTTTAGTTAATTAATTAATTCGTTAATTATCGAATTTTAATTTCAATAATTATAGTTTCTCATAATTTAGAAAAATTTTCCAAATATTCATATCTTTATAATTGTTCAAATAAATTAAATGTCATTTTTAAAATTGTGTAAATTTAAATTGCAAATATTATTTAATATTATAATCTGCATGTTTTTGCATTTAATCCATTTTTATATGCTCCAACGTTCATAGGATTTTTAAGAAAATTCTCTAATTTGTGATAAAGAAACTGAATCTAAACAATGGGAATTGTTGCGAACCTTCTTTTAAAAATCTAAATATTTTTTGTCTTGTTTCTGTCAATTTATTTGTTTTTTTTTGCTGCTTGAAAGAGGTAAAATTTTCGTCAATTTTATGAGAACAATGAATTGTTGATTTTATTGAAATGATATCATGAGATATGAGGCCAAAATTTAAAAATTTGTTATATCATAGATTTTTTCAAATAGTAATAAATTTCACATTAAAATCATGTTTACCAAATATAGTAAGAGAATATAATATTATATAATACACAGTGACGATAATGAGTTTTATTCTTTTTAATGATTATTTTTATTATTTTTATTTTTTATTTTTTAATTCTTGGTCATCTCAAACTTCGTTATTCATGTATTCCTTTTTATAATAATTTTGAAGCAATTCAATTAGAAGGTTTTGAATAATCACCACCGTATAGACTTATGAATTTTTCTATAATAAAGTAAAAAAAATTAAAATATAATTTTAATAATTAATATTTATTAACCAAGAAATAAAATTTCACCTTTTATAATATACTTGACAGGATTTTAAGATTTGAACTAAATGTTCTTCCCAATTTTTAGTATTGTCCATTTTATTTAATGCCATTCCATATCCTTTTGCTTGTGCCTGGTCTAAATCAGCAATAATAAATTCCCATCCATTATTATGAATATGTTTAAAGCGAGGAAATATACCAGTTAATGTAAAATAAGATCAAAAAGTGAATTGCAAATTCTATAATATGCAACAGCTGTTGCATTATTAGTAAATACTCGGGTAAAAGTAAGAGCTAAAAAAAATAAATATAATATTAATATATATTTTTTTTTTGAAATAATTAATTTTTTATTATAAATATATATAACATACTTAATCTATGTTCTGTAATAAAATAATTAATCTCAAATTCATTTATTTTATCCTCTGCTACACGTTTAAATGAAAGATCTATTTCAAAGTATTTGCATTTTTAATTGTTCAGGGGTAGTACAAATAATTATTACATGATTATCTTCAAAAAATTCTATAAAAATAAAAAAAAATTTAATAAAATTTTAAAAATAAATATTTAAAATTAAATAATATTTATCCAAGCAGCATTTTACATATTTACAAAAATTGTTTATATTTTAGAATAATTGTATACAACTCCAAAAAGACCAGTTCCTTGTGGATTAATTTCTTTTTGTATTTTATCTACATGATATCTTAATCGATCAGCATTATTTAATGAAGAATGAACTTCTGCCAGATATTCAGTACCAAAATATATTTTAATTAAATTTCCTAGATACAATAATAAATTATTAATTTAAAAATCACATAATATTATTGGAATTTTTTTTTTAAGATTCAGTCCCGCAAAATGCGACAACTACGATCAAAAATTTTTGTCAGGGAACATAATTTAAATCCGGTTATAGAATGATCTCATTATTGGTTCATTAGCCTCATAGGATTTTTTTACCAGCATGTATTGGGACTGTAATTGATAACAAAATGGCATTTAAATTTTTTAATTTAGCAGCTGCTGATGAAAGAATTCATATGAAGAATGCCTCTTCAAATCTCTCGTTAACGAAATTTTACAATATTAACAAAGATATTGGAATTATACATATGTACTTTGACGGTATAGGTATTGAAAAAGATTTAAAAAAAAGGTTTCAGAACTATTCTAGAGCAACAGGTGAAGGGTCCAATATAGCTTTAAATGCTGTCGCATATTGTTATTATAAGGGGGTTGGTATTGAAAACAATGAAGAAAAGTCATTTCTATTATATCTAAAATCTGCTGAAAAAGGGAGTTCTCTTGCACATTTAACGTTTATAAGTGTTATATGGATGAAACAGGAATAGCAAAAGATGAAATTAAAGGGTTCCAATTGTGTTTAAATTAGCTCTTTCGGAAATATAAATGCAAAAATGATACCAGATATTGTTATAACAGTGGTATTGGAGTGGATTTAAATAAAACAGAAGGAGATTCTATGACACACAACATAATTTAGGATATTGTTATATAAATGGTTATGGAATTAATAGTATCAAATGAAAGCATTTGAATAGTATAAAAAATCAGCTGAAAATGAATATGCTAATGGCAATATATGGTTGGAAAGTACTTTTATGAAGACGCGGAACTAGGAAAGATATCATAAAGACTATATACTGGTTAAATGAAGCAAATGAAAACGGGAATGTAAATGCCAATAGATTATTAGGAGAAGTAATTAATCAAATAATCCTTTTATAGGTTATTATGATACAAAATTTCAGATTAGGTCGATGCAGTAGCAACTATAGAACTTTATTAATAATTGTTTTATCTTCTGTGTGGCAAAAACATTCTAAGGTTTAGAAAATATCATTAAAAATTATAAATATGAAAAATGAATACCTCAACTAATAAAATTTAATGGTTATTTCACGGTTAGCCGGTTATTATGATATTTGAAGCCTTTCGTATATTTTACGATATTTATGTATACGGGCCGTTTTGAACTTAAACCGGAATATATCAACGGATATCGGTGCTATAAGGGTATAACAGATATTTTGTTGTACACCAGAATCAGGGCTTCGATCGGTTATAAGAATACCTTAATCAAAAATTCCTCCATGTTCCATAAATCGCGATCAAATTCAAAAAAAAAGGAACTTTTTGGCAAAAAAATTCCGGAGAAATTACGAGTTTTTTTTTTTTTTTTGGTTTAGATTTTTTATTAAGGTATTCTTATGACCGATCGAAAGCCCCTATTACTGTCTACAAGAATATGTGTTTCATCCTTGCAGCACCGATATCCACCGATATATTCCGGTTTAAATTCAAAACGGCCCCGTATAAATACCGTAAAATATCAGATATAGTTTGTCGTAATAATAGAGATTTACAACAAATAAAAATTTCCAGATAAATACCCTATTTGACTAATATTTTTTAGGGGCAATAAACAATTAAAATTCACAAAGTAAAATAAATATTCAAAGTAAATTAATCATCAAATTGTCGGATTAGGTGAAAAAATTGGATTTATAGCATTTATCACCAACAAATTCTTGAGATTTTTAGCATCAAAAGAATTAATTGAAATGTTCCATTCAAAAGTGTACAGGGAATTCATGCATATAAGAAAAATTAATGAAAACAAAAGACTCTTTACTGTAATACTAACTAAAGTGTTTTGAAGTAGATGATAAATAAAATCTCGTGTTCCCTTACATAATTATAAATATGAAAGTAACATTTGTGAAAATACAGGGGTATTAGAATTTTATTTAATGCCGTGTAAGTATGTTATTGCGCAAATTAAAAACGAATGATCAGCGAAATTAATTACTTTATATATTTAATACAATAAAGTTGATCATTCAATTATTATTTATTTTCTCAATAACAACCAATATTTCATGTCTCAAAGAAAAAAAAGAAAAACAAATAATAATATTACTATTAATAATAATCCTAGGACAGAATGTGATGATGATATTCCATTCTTCCATTATTCGAAATTTGAAGATGTAAAATTAATTAATAAAGATATTTATAAAGCTCGTATTAAAAAAATAGTTTCTCAGCAAGAAAAAACCGTAGTCGAAAAAGTAGCTCTTAAATGTATTTCTTTGAATGATTTGATAAAAGAAGTGAGTTTACTGTTAAAAACTACAAATAAATTATTCGTTATTTTTAGTAT